GTCGTAGACTAGGTTACTAGCCATTGTCTGGCAATCCCTGGCAATACTGATGTCATGACGTTGTAGGAATTTCCAGTCTCTATGGTTAAAACAGGAAGTGATACCAGGACAGTCTGGAAATTTTTCAAATCTCTGTAAAAACTATAAAAGAAGAAGAGATTTGATCTATACCCTACTCTTCACTATTCGAAGGAGTTTCAGAGTGGCTTACAATCTCCTTTCTCTTCCCCTCCACACAACAGACACCCGGTGAGGTAGGGCTGCCAAGTGGGGGCGGGTGGCGGGTAAACCCCCGCTTTGGAGGCCCGATTTCCGCCGCCACGGAATCGGGCCTCGGGGCGAACTCTGCCCCCGAAGCACAGTGTGGCTGCATCACCACGTCGATCATGTTGGGGGTGTGGCCCCGATCGTCGGAGGGACAATTCTATGGTTTTCTCTCCAACGATCGGGGTCACGCCCTCAATGTGATCGACGTCACACGTCACTTCTGGTGATGTGCTGGCGGCATGCGCATGCTTTGTGTGTGCACAACAGGGACGGCTCCCGGAGCGCGCCGAGGCTCCCCCGCCGGTGAGTAAAACTCACTTGGCAACCCTACTGTGAGGTAGGTGGGGCTGAAAGAGCTCTTTCGAGGACTTCTGTTGAGAGAATAGCTCTGAAAGAACTTATGACTGATCCAAGGTCACACCGGCAGCTGTGTGTGGAGGAGTGGGGAATCAAACCAGGTTCTCCCAGATTAGAGTCCACACTCCTAACCACTACACCAAACTGACTCTCAGATATTTGGATATTTATTAGGCATCAAGACACCACTTCCTGTTTTGGGTCAGAATGTGAAGTCAGGAAGCTCTGACATCCTAGAGTGTCCTGACTTCACATTATGTCCCCTGTTTCAATCCAGGACGTGACATCCCAGTCCTATTTCCTCCCGTGTTTTCCCCATGCTCCATTGAGAAGGGAGGGTGTGGTGAATGTTACTGGAAGTATTCCATTGGAATCAGGTAAGTAGCAGCTGTGCCATGGAGGCAGGGGGAGAGACCACTTAGCAACAACAAGTGGCTGACTCTCCCAGACAGTGCTTTTCCTGAGGCCCTTTTAAGGACTCAATTAAGGTATGCTGGCTTCAGCACCGCCAGCCTGGGTCAGGTCAGTCTCTTAGCCCGTGTGCTCCAGGAACAGGTGGCCTCCTCTTGTAAGCCAGGTCAGGCTGGCTTCCAGCTCCCTCCAGCCCTGGTGAAGAGGTTGCAAAGAGGCACTGAGTCCTGGATGCAACCCAAAGAGAATTTGCATGCTTATTTATTTAGTTAAAACATTTCCTGTCTGAACAATTCCTGCCTAAAAACCCAATGAATTCAAGAGGCTTAGAGTGGAGTAATTCTGCATAGAGTTGCAGTGTTGATCAACTGATCCCGGTGATCACTAAAGCAAGGTGAAATGTCATTGCACCCCCCACCCGCTATACTCCTGCAACATAAAGCAATGACTTCCATGTGCGAAAGAGCCATCCCTGATTCCACAATGGAGATCACAGGTTTCAGGTCAACTCAGACATAATGCTTTTCAGTGCAGGCAATAATGCATTCAGCAGCGAGTCACTGAGGACTAGGGTTGCCAGGTGAGGCTGACAAGCTTGTGGGGAACTTTCCAGGAGCCTCCAGGAGAGGAGAGGGAAGATGCCTGATTGAACTCCAAAGGGAGTTCTGGTCATCACATTTAAAGGGACTGTGTTCCTTTTAAATGCCTTCCCTCCGCTGGAAATAATAGAGTATGGGGGCACCTTCTTTTGGGGCTCATAGAATTGGACCCTTTGATCCAATCCTTTTGATACTTGGGATTTTAAGGAGATGCACCTAATACTATGTTGAAACTTTGGTTCCTCTACCTCAAAAAACAGCCCCCCCCCCCGAGCCCCAGATACCCACAGATTGATTTCCATTATACCCTCTGGGGACTGGTCTCCATAAGGTATAATGCAGCACCCAGTGGTCATTCCCCCTCCTGCTTTCTGATAACCCTGAAGCAGGGGAAGGGCCTCCAAACCAGGAGATCCCCTGCCCCCAACTGGGGATTGGCAACCCTACTGAGGACTGAACTATAATACAAGAAGAACTTGTACATGCACAAGGAGCCATGTAGATTTCGAAGGAAGGAAAAATCACCAATCACTTTCCAAGATGAACACATGAAGCTGCCTTGTATTGTGCCAGACTCTTAGTCTGTTAAGGTCAGTGTGACCTTGGTTGGCAGTGGCCTCAAACCAGGGTTCCTGCCAAATCTGCAGGACCACCTGCCCAGGTTCCTCCTCAGCCACTCTCGGACATGTGCCTTCCTCACCTTCCTTTTACAGCAAGCCTACAACATACATCCAGCTGATCTGTCCCACCCACCCCACATTCATGCTTCTTTCTCCCAATGTTCTCATCAGTCAATCCTTTCTTGTCTTCTGCTCAGCCAGTTTCCCTCTGCCACACCAGTTCTGTCTTTTCTTTTCACTCCTCTCACTCCTTGCTTTGTCTGTCTGCTGGCCTCTCCCCCGCATCCTTAGGAAACTCCTGCACATCCTGCTGGGCCTCCTTGTGATGCCTCTGGTGCCAGTGCTCCACAGCTGAACTCTCTGTATTGCTCCCACCCAATGTTCCTTCTGCCAATTCTTCAGCCACATCTCCTGTACAGCCAATCTGAAGACCAATCAGAAGCCTTCCTAGGCAAGAGCCCCACCTGGCCCTGGCCCTTAGTCAGTATTGTCTGTTCTTATCGGTAACTTCTCTCCAGATTCTCAGGGGTGGGTTTTACATGTCCCTTAGTTCCTGATCCTGTAAACTAGAGTTGCTGGCAAACCAGATGCTCTGCCACTGAGACACAGCTCCCCCCATTCCTATACTATCTTTGCTTCTCCCCTTGTCCGTTCCTACAATTCCCACCCTTGTTTCCACTACCCCTGTTAAAACAACCCAAAATGTCACTCAAAAACCATAGTGCTTAAAGTTTCTTGAGAAGAAATATGTCTCCAAACTTACATTTGACAATGGGCCGCTGTCAGCACCCAGTTTTCTCGGATCAAACTTCCTCCACACTTGAAGACATTTCCTCTGACTAGGGCTGCCATATAGGGTCTTGAATGTGGAATCGACACTTGCCCTCCCGGGATTCTTGCACAGTGACCTCAAGCAGAAATAAACCAAGTGAATCAAGTTGCTTCATATTCTCTGTGCTGCGGGTTAATCAGTCAGTTCCAGTGCAGGAAATGTAAATGGGCAAGAGGTTTAAAAAAGCACATATACTCAAAGCTTTTCAATAGGGCTGAAAGCTGGAACGTCACTGGATTCTTCTAAGACTATTCTGGGTTTTGAAACAAAATGAAGTGGTCAGGGGTATGTGTGGCTATTTAAATGTTCTTTCCTCATAAGTCTGTTAGACACCACGGAACCAGATGTTGCAGCAGCATGTTTTGTGGGACACATGGCCATGGTGTGGCTGATTGCATCCTCAGAGGCTTTTTCCTTGGTATGGAAAACAAGAAGCCTCAGGATGAAAGGGGGAAATCCACATGATGTTATGCTGATTTTAAGTACCCGCCCTGGAGCTTTAGTTTTTTAGATGGAAACCTGATTTCCTCCACTTTAAAGGGGAATCTCCAAACTGGCTGCAGAGGAGTGTCTATGTGGAAATTCCTCCTGTCAGCATTAAGGGGGGGTCATGGCGCTGAGCTCTGCTTTCCAAGTGGTCTGAGGAACCTCACTGCTACATCCTATTCCTATCCTATAGAAGATTGAAGGGCAAAGAAGAAGGGGACGGCAAAGGATGAGATGATTAGACAGTGCCATAGATGCAACAAACATGAAATTGAGCAAACTTCAGAGGACGGTGGAAGACAGGAGGCCCTGGCGTGATTTGGTCCACGGGGTCGCAAAGAGTCGGACTCGACTGTGCGACTGAACAACAACAACATTCTTCCCCCTTAACTCTTTAGAGGTTCCCCCCCTTTCCACACTGAGCTGTTGTCAGCGTCAACAACACGCAGGTCCAAACACACTCCTCAGGAAAATTTATGCTTTATTAGAATACTGTTCTGTTGCCAAGTGGTACAGGTACATTGTCAGAAATAACGATTAGTGCAAGGGACTCAGTACATATACTCTGATGCCTCATCTAGCAAAGCAAATGAAATCCAAGCGCGCACACGAGAATTCTCCCGGCGGGACATTACATCATAAATGGAAGACTCTCCCCACCCCCCTGAGAGCAGAAATATTCACACCAATAGTGATAGTGGAATGCAAGCCCTCCCTTCTCTTCAAGGTTACACTGATAGCGCTGTCTGGCTGAGCCAGTTCGCACGGGGAAAAGAGCACCTCCCTTATGTTACCCACGTCAGCTATGCAAAGCAAGCATGTGTGCATGCGGAAAGGTCGGGGACAAAAGAAAACAAAGAAAGCATGGCAGCTAGCTGACAGCTGTGCTGTGTCACTACAGAAAGGCTTGGTAGGTAAAGTGAAACTGAAGGAGCTGTTTCGGAGCTGTGAGGGGTCCTGGTCCAATCACCATCAAGCTTGGGATTGTCTGCAAACACAACATGGAAAGGGGTGCGGCTGGTGGCAGCGGAGAGTGGAGCAGGGTCAGGGACATGTTGTGGACACATTTATTTATTGAAAATGTCTGTTAGTTGCCTTTCTTCCTCTGGAGCTCACGGTGGCTTACAATATAAATAAAATACATTAAACAATTTAAAAAACATACAACCAAAATTAAAACCACAGTTTAGGACTGCTTTAATTGCATCCATCTAAAAACTATATTTAATTCCTGTGGAATTCTTTGAAAATACTTATAGTAGCTAATTTGAGTCCAGTAGCAGCAGAGTGACTAACAAGATTTTGGGGGGTATGGCTACCCTCTGGAATATTCCTTTTAGAGAACTTTTGCACATCTAAACTTTTAAAACTACAGCAAAAACAAGATCATTTCTGAGGGTTAGCCATGTTGGTCTTTAATAGAACATCTAGATTTCATTCCAGTAGATCCTTAAAGTCCAACAAGATTTTGGGGGTTATAAACATTTGGGACTCCTTGGTAGCTTTGACTCTTGAAAATTTATACCTCCAAAATCTTATTGGTCTCAAAGAATGTTCCCTCTAACCTCCACAGTGTTGTGAGCAAAAATTCTACCTTGTAAGCAAAAAAAGCTAGTGGCATTAAAGCTGTGAGCGAGTCTACATTTGACTACCGCATAAATTAGTTTTTAGAAGATTATTTCCATAACCTTGTAAAATTCTCAGAATAAATTAAACTATATTTAGACAATATTTTAAGAACAATCTAAACATTATAAGAGAAAACTGAACCAAGTCAAATTTCATTACAGAAAGTTTTTTCCTCTATGAGGGTAGACCAGGCCTCTAGAGAACAGATCTACCTGCCCCTTTCCACCATGTTGGTAGACCTGACCACCGGAGAACACCCTCCCCTTTCCACTATATTGGTAGACCTGGCCTCTGGAGAACTGGTCTACCCACTCCTTTCCACTATATTGGTAGACCTGGCCTCTGGAGAACAGGTCTACCCAACTGAGTCCACTATAGTGGTAGACCTGCCCTGAGCCTTAGAAAACATACCAGCACTTGCTGGGAGGGAAACCTTGAAGTCTACTTTGGTGGGGTTTGTTTAGTGAAATATGACAAATTTACAGGTCAAGAATAACAGAGGTGGAACAATCACTGTTAGAATCCTTGACAAACAGGAAGTTGCTTAAATGTTATCAACCTGCCCAAACTACTTATTTATTCAAATATTTATATCCCAGTTTTACTGTGACTTGGCAGCTTACAAATCATACTGAAAGCATAATAGGGGTAAGCAAAAAAATATGATTTTTTCCTTCTCCATTGTAGCCTATGGGGACAATTATAATCAATGGACTACCAGAAGTTCTGTGGAGGGTTTTTTTAGGTAGAGGTACCAAATTTGCAGCATAGGGGGTCCAGTTTTATTGGCCCCAGAGGGAGGTGTTCCCATCCTCTATTGTTTCCAGTGGAGGAAAAATGCATGTGAGCAGATAGCTACAGTATCTGAGCAGCCAGCTAAACTTTTGTGCATCAGCACTCCCTAACACAGTTTAGAGGAAACACTGGTCTCAAAGGTGCTACTGGACTTGAATCTAGCAAAAATGAGAACACAATAATGTTAAAAACGCCTAAAAACATATTTAAAAACATGTAAATATCTTCATTATGTGTGATTAAAATAGTTTGACCCAGCTATAGCCCATATTTTCTCAGCTGCCAAGGCGAGTTGCGCCACTCTGTAAGAAACATACTGATCTGAAGCAGAAAGAAGGAAAATGAGTTCCTCCATTACAGGAGAAGAATTTATACCCCTTGAAATCTCAGCAAGAAATTTGTTTCTGGGCTTTGTATACAAAGGGCAATCTAAGCTTTTGTTTTTCTCCTTGTTTTCTTTTTCTTTAAATATTTTTTTTTGGGGGGGGGGGAATCATGTGGACTGCCCTGACTTCAAAATGTAGCGTTGAAAGTCTGAATAGAATCTACACGCATAAAACTGAACATGCTTAATGCTCTCTGTGCACAATTGGGAGCCCATCACTGTAGTCAGAGGGCTAGCAGCAGTGTCAGTGCCTGTTTTGAGTTCTTCTTGAGGTGGATAAAATATAACTGTAGTAAATAAAATAAACAGGATAAACCTCTCTACGGTGTCCCTTATTTGGAAATATTTAGATTAAATATGCCCACACATAGAGAAGAATATCTACATTTCCTTCAATACAGCTCCGAAAAAATAGCATATGTGTGCTAGACAAATGCCATTGTGCCATTTTAAAAATCTTTAAACTGTGTGGGATTCTAGTATTTATTTATTTATTTGATTTTTATCCCACCTTCCCTGCCAAGGCAGGCTCAGTGCGGTTTCCTTGAGTGCCCCTGGGAACAGTCCCTCAGAGATGGACTTGCTAATAATATCCCTAAGGGTACCTTGAAACCCCTCACAACCAGCTTTAATTAGCCATGAAGGGCACGGGTCAAGGCTGCACGTGGTTGGATGTACTGTTGAGAACAATCTGTCGACTTCCTCTAGACTGAGTAGACTGAAATAATCCAAAATTGGACTAGAAGAAGTGCATGTAGCCTTGAGTTCACTCACTGTCTCAACTGTGGTGGGGAGATCGTGGCGGAGTAACAAGACCTTATCTGCAAAATAGCTTCCAATAGCTTCACAGTCAATGTCCAATTCCCTAGCATTAGGTCTGCCCTGTGGCAAGACTGTCAAGGACCAAATAATTCTAAACAATTGAGTCGGGCGTGAGCTTGCAAATGCAATCATGGCCGCGTAGAACTCTCTCTTCACGGTTTTGACTGCCATCTCATAGGATTTCATAAATGTCCTATAAGATGCTCTTGTAGCTTCGTCGTGTATTTGCTGCCACTGTCTCTCTAGCCATCTTAGTCTCCGGTTCATCAGCTGTAGCTCCTGAGTATACCAAGGAGCCAGCCTAGAGCGAGGGCTCAGAGAGTACCTGGGAGTGATCTCATCAATGGCGGCAGAGAGTCGGCTGTGCCAGTCCTCTACAAGCTCCTCTAATGAGCTGCCAGGGGGCATCGGATCCCGTAGAGCCATCTGAAGCCGCATAGGGGCCATTTGGCTCCATGGGCAAGCTAAAATACGCTCGCCGCCCAAACAGGGTCGGGGTGAAACGTTCAGACGGGCGTTCAGGGCATGGTGGTCCAACCATGGCACTGCCATAACAGTGATCTGGGCCACAGTAACCCCCACTGTGAAGATCAAATTGAGCGTGTGCCCGGCCCGGTGAGTGGGAACCAGTACATATTGGGAGAGTCCCAGCACCTCCATGGATGACACCAGGTCCATCGCCTGTAAAGAGGCTGCATCTTCCGCTAGGACATTGAAGTTACCCAGGACTATCAGTCTAGGGTGCTCCAATGCCCAGCTCGACACAGCCTCCAACAGGGATGGCAGGCTAGAGGCTGGTGCATTGGGCAGGCGGTATACCACCCAGATAGCCAAACTCTCCTCAGCTTCCCACACTAGACTGGCACACTCAATGTCTGTGAGCTTTGGCGGCAGGAGTGCCCTGGAGGAGTAAGCCTCCCGAATGAGCAGGGCCACTCCACCACCCCCGCCCCCTAGTCTGCGTACTTTTACCTGCTGTTTTGTGGCTGCTTTAAATTTATTCTTGAAGATAATTTAATGGTTTGTTATTCCACATTTTCTATGTACAGAACAAAATACACGCAAAATACAAACACAGGCATGGGCTCTTCTGCATTGCTTGTGTGCTTTGTTTCCCCCTCTCCTTTTCTACACATGTATTACTCCTAGTGGTCAATTTATTTATTTTATATTTTATTTATTTAAACATTTTTACCCCGCCCTCCCCGCAAGCGGGCTCAGGGCGGCTTACAAGGGGCGACAGCCCATGCATAAAATCCAATAAAACAATAAAATCATAACAACAGTTATACATAACAACAATAATAAAGTGCTTCAATAACAAGATGGTCCTGAGTGGTTATGATGGCATCTTCAGATCGGCCCCATTGAGTACCACTGTCCCTGTGTTGTTAATATCACACAAGATAGGCTGAGCTTCCCAGGGTGATCCCAGATCTTGTTGGCGTTGCCACCGTTGGTGGTGGTGGCAGCGGCGGCCCCTATGTGAAAGCCTGGCGGAAGAGCTCCGTCTTGCAGGCCCTGCGGAACTGCATAAGGTCCCGCAGGGCCCTGATCTCCTCCGGGAGCTC